GTCAAGACGCACAAGCCTGGAAACCCACTTCGGCCAATCATTAGCCAGATACCCACACCCACGTACAGACTGGCGAAGCGACTCAACGGCCTGCTGACTCCTTATGTTCCTTGCGCCTTCAGCCTGAAGTCTCCAAAGGAATTTGTGGACTTACTGCGGGGCACACGGGCCACAGGGATAAGAGCCTCGTTGGACGTAGAATCGCTGTTTACCAACGTACCTGTGGACGAGACAATCGGAATGATAGCCGACAGAGTGTATCGTGATCCAGCCTGTACTCCTCTTGACATGCCAGAAAGTATTCTGAGGAAACTACTCCAAGCTTGTACTAAAGAGGCACCCTTCTTGAGCCCGGATGGGCACCTGTATAAGCAAGTAGATGGGGTCGCCATGGGTTCTCCCCTAGGTGTCATGTTTGCAAACTTCTACATGGGTACCATCGAGCAAAAAGTCTTAGTCGACATGAACTTGAAGCCGGCCATATACTGCAGGTATGTTGACGACATTTTTACACAGGTACCTGATGTCAGACATCTGCAGGAGCTGAAGGAGGCATTTGAGCAGAGTTCCGTGCTGCGTTTCACTTACGAGACGGAAAAGGATGGGAAGCTGCCTTTTCTAGATGTAACAGTCATGGAAAAGGGCGGAGGTTTCCACACTGCAGTCTACACTAAGGAAACAAACATAGGAATGTGCCTAAATGCCAACAGCGACTGCCCTGACAGGTACAAGAGGAGTGTTGTTAACGCATACGTCGACCGTGCTCTCAGCCACAGCTCAGAATGGAAGCAAGTCGACGAAGAACTCTGTAGGGTAAGGCAGGTTCTAGTCAATAACGGCTTCTCCAATGGTTTCATCGAAGACATCATAAGAAGGAAAGTGAAAAGCCATGCAACCTCTGAAGAGACAACTAACACAACACCTATACCCCCTATTAGACTATTTTACAGGAACTTCTTTTCCACAGCTCATAAAACGGAGGAAAGGGTCCTGAAAGATATTGTTAATAGGAACGTTATCCCTACAGACAAAAATCAGAGGATACAACTGACGATTTACTATAAAACCAGAAAAACGGCCAGCCTACTCATGAGAAACTCTCCAGACACAAAACAGAACGCTTTAAAAGAGACTAACGTCGTCTGTGCCTTCAAATGCCCACTTGGGGACTGTTAAGCTCCAAAAAACCCAGTATATAGGCAAAACAACAACATCTCTTTCTAGGCGTTTAACGATGCATAAGCAACAGGGCTCCATTAAGGAACATATAATCTCTTCCCATAACCAAACCATCGCCAGAGAAATCCTAGTAAACAACACAGAAATCATCGATAGATACAGCGATAGCAGGCGGCTTGACGTTTGCGAGGCACTACACATCAAGAAGTCAACACCAGCAATCAACAGCCAATTATTGCACAACTATATTCTACCCACCTCAAGACTCCACTCCAATATAGAAGCATCAAGAAATATGGACCAATAGGCTTTCTACAAACACTTCTATTCAATACCCATTGTTTCTGTTCTGTCTTGTGTTGATACTTTTAATACCCTATTAATATCCCCTCATGTTCTGTCTTGTGTTAATGCCACATCACTATATGCCACATCATCCCTCCCACCTCACTCAAATGTAGATATAATAGCAGAGATACGTAAGTTCTAATCAGTTGTGTATTTGTGAAGTCTTTGAAAATGTAATAAGTTTTACGAAACGCGCCCGTGTCGCGTCAGACTAGAAATAAAAATGAATTTTGGAGAAGTGATTTTTGATTTACCTCCAACAGTGAAGCGTAATGTACGAAAGATTGAGAAAATTCGTGTTAGAATTATTAATCTTACTTTTTCGGTCATATTTAATAATATATATATATATATATATATATATATATATATATATATATATATATATATATATATATATATATATATATATATATATATATATATATCAAGAGGAGCCTCACCACAGCTGGATGCCCAGCTGAAAGAGAGCCCCGTTACCTAACGCCCCGTAACTCTGATGCTCTTATTGGTCGCCCGGATGGTATCACAGTGAACCCCTGGAAGAACGGCAAGCAGTTGGTATGGGACTACACGTGCGTATCAACCCTGGCTAACACCTACATTAACCTCAGTGTTGCACAACCAGGTGGCGCTGCCACCCACAGGGAAGCAGCCAAATCCCGTAAGTATAGAGAACTGGATCACCACTACAATTTTGTCCCCATTGCTTCTGAGACGTTCGGCGCCTGGGGTAAAAGTGCTACCAGTTTTTTGAAGGAACTGGGTTCTAGGCTCATTGAAACAACAAGGGACCCGAGAGCTGCAAGCTTTCTTTTCCAGCGCCTCAGTGTGGCGATACAGAGGGGAAATGCGCACTGCATCCAGGGTTCCTGCCCGCCATCTGAGGAGCTGGAGGAACTCGACAACCTATGACAACCATCTTTGTAACCCATATGTAACTCCTTTTTTGTAACAAAGTTCAAATAAAGTAAATATATGTGTACATACAAAAGAATGGGGGTGGTAGGAGAAGATAATATTGGTGTTCAGTGAGAAACCACAAGGTCTCCTCTGAATACTTTTTATTTTCTTCTCCGAGGCTATGGGTCCCCACATTGGCACCAGAGGTGGTACCCCTATATATATATATATATATATTTATATATATATATATATATATATATATATATATATATATATATATATATATATATATATATATATATATGTATATATAGTCCTGGGGCATATAGTCCTGGGGACCATTCAGGCTTGTTCGCATATATATATATATATATATATATATATATATATATATATATATATATATATATATATATATATATATATATATATATGGCACAACTCTCCTAAACACGAGAGTTAAGTATACAACTTTAGAACACTTTCCCACCAGGAGACTCGAACCCTAGCCAGCACAGAAGCCTTCCAGCAACTGGCATAACAGGTACGCCTTAACCCTCTGCACCACCGCTCAGACAGTCTGAGCGGTGGTGCGGTGTCTGAGCGGTGGTGCAGAGGGTTAAGGCGTACCTGTTATGCCAGTTGCTGGAAGGCTTCTGTGCTGGCTAGGGTTCGAGTCTCCTGGTGGGAAAGTGTTCTAAAGTTGTATATATATATATATATATATATATATATATATATATATATATATATATATATATATATATATATATATAAATTTACCAGGCAGTATATCGGTAGAAATTACGAGATGTGAGCACTAATATCATGGTACTAAGCACTTGTTGATGTAGTAGGGAGTAAAGAGCACTGGTTGCTCTTTAAAAAGGATTTGTTGTGATGAACTTTACATACTGTGCATGTCTGTTCAAGAGAGGTTTCTTATTAAAGTACAGTGATATTTGCCTGTTCTTCAACAGTTTTAAGTTATTGATTAACTTTGTTGTCATTTTCAGAGCTCTTGTTCGGTGACGATTTTTTTTAATCGTTGATGCAATGCCGTCGCTTTCTTATTTTTCCTTTATTGTGGCAATGGAATAGCTTCGATTTCTCCTTGGCCTTGACTGCTGTGTCATTTTCATAGTTTTCATGATTCTTGCTTCATGTTTAGGCGTTTTTTCTAGGCCCTATGGCATCTTTTTCGTCTCTCATCTGGGCTCTTTTCTCTGCGTTTTTTCCACTTTCTACTGATTCTTGTTTTTGCTTTCCCTTTGTTTTAATAACCTTTGGTTGCTATATTGCTTCACCTCTTTATCTCCGAATAATGGTATATACGTGTGGGTGTGAATGTAATTATCTAAGTGTACTTAATACCTGGTAAGGGACCGGGCCGCGGGGGCATTGAACCCCGAAATCAACGCAAGGTTAAGATAGTTACAGGATGAGAGCTACGCTCGTGGTGTCCCATCTTCCCAATACTCTTTGGTCATGTGTTGATATGAAACTACTGAATGTCTTGGCCTCCACCACCACCACCTTCTCACTTGTTTCAACCGTCCACCACTCTGTTTGCAAAAGCAAACTTTATAATATTTGTTTTCGTGTACGTGTGTACACGAAATGTGTATTTGGTGTACACTATGAAAGATGTGTGTACGTGCGTATGTTGGCGTGCGTGAATGTGTGTCCATGCGTGTGCTAGCGTGCGTGAATGTATGTACGTGCGTGTGTATATGTGCGTTGGTGTGGTAGCACGAAATGGTTCGTGTCATTTTTATCATAGTAACGTGAAGCGGGAAAAATTGCCCCTAACATCATAACTAGGAGGGGTGAAACGGGCAGCCTCTAGCAGTGTAACTAGAAACGAGCGAAACGGGGCTATTAGCAGTATAACTAGGAGAGTGGGTGAAGGGGGTCCAGTTTCATTAACGGATTTCGTCAGTCGAGTAAAAAGTGCTTCTCTCCTGCGTCCCCCACAACCAGGCGACGGTGGCGGGCTGTAAACACAGACTAACACCCGTCACAATCTCCGGTATTGTCTTGAAGGAGCGGAGAATCATGGAAGAGGATGGGTAAGAAAGTGGGGAGAGTGGGGAATGGGGAATAGGCCATGAGGAGGAAAGTAACAAACGGGAGAGGAAGCCAGGGGAGAGGGACTGGGGAAAGAACTGAAGGAAAGGAGACCCATCTCTCAAGGCAGCTGTGGAAGGGGAGGAGGTATTTCCAGGAAGATCTGAATGCAAAAACACAAGAGCCGTTCGTCATGGGAGAAAGAACGAGACAGGAGAAGCCATAAACAACTTGATAAGAAATAGAAATATAACCCATCTGGGTCTCGACTCCCCGACTTGCGTCAGACGGGGGCCATATAGTGATAACACAAACATAACACTGGACAACAATCTCCACTTGCTGATCACCAGCAGAGGGAGAGCCCCGTTTGGCCCCCAGTAACAACCTCCCAATAGCACCGAGTGTATTAACGAACCCAAGACAGAGAAAACCTCTATATTCAAGACTGCAATATATATCTTGCATTATGGACCTCTCAGGAAATATCTTACATCATGGACCTCTCAGGGAACATCTTACATCAAGGACCTCTCAGGAAACATCTTACATCATGGACCTCTCAGGAAACATCTTACATCATGGACCTCTCAGGAAACATCTTACATCATGGACCTCTCAGGAAACATCTTACATCATGGACCTCTCAGGAAACATCTTACATCATGGACCTCTCAGGAAACATCTTACATCATGGACCTCTCAGGAAACATCTTACATCATGGACCTCTCAGGAAACATCTTACATCATGGACCTCTCAGGAAACATCTTACATCATGGACCTCTCAGGAAACATCTTACATCATGGACCTCTCAGGAAACATCTTACATCATGGACCTCTCAGGAAACATCTTACATCATGGACCTCTCAGGAAACATCTTACATCATGGACCTCTCAGGGAACATCTTACATCATGGACCTCTCAGGGAACATCTTACATCATGGACCTCTCAGGAAACATCTTACATCATGGACCTCTCAGGAAACATCTTACATCATGGACCTCTCAGGAAACATCTTACATCATGGACCTCTCAGGAAACATCTTACATCATGGACCTCTCAGGAAACATCTTACATCATGGACCTCTCAGGAAACATCTTACATCATGGACCTCTCAGGAAACATCTTACATCATGGACCTCTCAGGAAACATCTTACATCATGGACCTCTCAGGAAACATCTTACATCATGGACCTCTCAGGAAACATCTTACATCATGGACCTCTCAGGAAACATCTTACATCATGGACCTCTCAGGAAACATCTTACATCATGGACCTCTCAGGAAACATCTTACATCATGGACCTCTCAGGGAACATCTTACATCATGGACCTCTCAGGAAACATCTTACATCATGGACCTCTCAGGAAACATCTTACATCATGGACCTCTCAGGAAACATCTTACATCATGGACCTCTCAGGGAACATCTTACATCAAGGACCTCTCAGGAAACATCTTACATCATGGACCTCTCAGGAAACATCTTACATCATGGACCTCTCAGGAAACACTTTAAATCATGATTCTAAGAAGGCATACATATGCCACTTACACCTGGCATTAACAAAATAAACAAACTGGTGTTGGTATTTCCACCAGTGAGCGCAATCCATCACTGTACACAAACCCTTTGTGTTCCTCTCGAATCAGGACTGTTCTCCACAAACTTTAAAAGTGCCACTGTCAGATTAATCCCTAAGCCAGGAAATCCATCCCAACTCGCTTGCTTTACGTCTGTGTTTTCTGACTAATTCATAACCTTTCCATATTTTACAGATGCACTCACTTAGTTGTGCTTGTGGGGGTTGAGTTCTGGCTCTTTGGCCCTGCCTCTCAGCTTTCAATCAACTGGTGTACAGATTCCTGAGCCTACTGGGCTCTGTCATATCTACACTCGAAACTATGTATGGAGTCAGCCTCCACCACATCACTGCCTAATGCATTCCACCTGTTTACTCTGACACTGGAAAAAAATCTTTTTAATGTCTCTGTGGCTCATTTGGGTACTAAGTTTCTACCTGTGTCCCCTTGTTCGTGTTCCACCCGTGCTAAATAGTTTGTCTTTGTCCACCCTGTCAATTCCCCTGAGAATTTTGTATGTGGTTATCATGTCTCCCCTTATTATTCTGTCTTCCAGGGACGTGAGGCTTAGCTCCTTAGCCTTTTCTCGTAGCTCGTGTGTGCGTGTGTGTAAGAAAGATTGTTCATCTGCTTCTCTTTCTTTTAAGAAATAGCTAAAACTGATCATTCTGCTGTACACTTTAAACTTCACACAAATCAGGGATTTGTTTTTCCTTGTTTTTTCCACGACCCCCGTACGCTATTTGAGGCAGTGTGCCTTAGTGATCCTCTTAGTGGCTCTCTCAACGCCCGAAATTCGGGAGTTTTGTGAACCACCGGCTATTGTGTGTTTTGTGGTGGGGGAGGGATGTAGGTGTGTGTGTGTGTGTGTGTGTGTGTGTGTGTGTGTGTGTGTGTGTGTGTGTGTGTGTGTGTGTGTGTGTGTGTGTGTGTGTGTGTACTCACCTATATGTACTCACCTATTTGTGCTTGCAGGATCGAACATTGACTCTTGGATCCCGCCTTTCTAGCCATCGATTGTTTACAGCAATGATTCCTGTCCCATTTGTTCCGCCTAGCGTTTGGGGAGAGGTCTGTGTTCCCCCACTTGATGTCCAGCCTACACTGACTGTTTCTCCTACTCACTCAAGCCGAGAGAGCTGCCCTACTATTCCTCCACCTAGTTATCAATTACAAAGCAGGATGAATTGAACAGACTTGAACAGGCAATTACTGGCATTGAATTGCCACTAATTGCCAAATTAATGGCAAACCCCAGATGGCTGAATTAGCATTTAACTGGTGGTAATTACATTAGTCATCTTGGCAAAAGCTATATCAATTACAATATTCTCTAGTGGACTTTAATTTGTATAATATGAATTAGTAAATATGGAAGATTGTGGTCACGACGGCGCCTAACCTTGACCCCTGGTTGGTCAGGTACGTCGCCGGCCAAGTAGTACCCCTCAAAGCTACGTGACGTCACTGTCTCTGACGGTATACGACCCAGATCTCACCCTCTACATTCATATTTAACCCGGCTGGTTATTAACACATAATCTCCGTATTACTGAATACAATATTAAATAAAGGCCTGAATTTCTATCAATTACTGAAGTAACATGAGGGAGAAGGAAGGTGGAGGGTGCAGCCAGCCACATGATGACCTATGGCCAGATTCACGAAAGCACTTAAGGAAGCACTTACGAACATATCCATCTTTCCTCAATCTTTGACGGCTTTCATTTATTAAACAGTTTACAAGCATGAAAACTTCCCATTCAACTATTGGTATTGTTATAAACAGCCTTATGGTGCTTCGGAGCTCATTAACTGTTTAATAATTGAAAACAAAGCCGCCAAAGATTGAGAAAAGATGTACAGGTTCGTAAGTGTTTGCGTAAGTGCTTTCGTGAATCTGGCCCCTGTCCTCCCTGTGTTGCCACGTGTAACAGGGTCATCTGCTCTCGGATTAAGAAGGGGATTTGATTCTACACTCATAACTGACGTTAAATTAATCAACATGCTTGACAACAGGGAGTTATTAATTACAGTTACTTTAATACCTGAATGACTCAAAGTAATACTTTAAAACCAAGGAGAGCTGACGACCCTGTCTATACACTACTGTCTTAATCCCCGAGGGAGGACCGTCTCACTTCCCATGTGAGGTAGACTACTCTCTTACTCCGCTTTCTGGAACCTTCCATGTGGTCTCATGATTTATGCCAGAACTGTAGTGAATAATCTCTACAACAACCTAGTCTGTTACATCCTGGTGAGGCAATCGAATAATTTTTGTGAAAGGGGGGAGAGAGGGAGAAGGAGATGAGGGAGGAGGATGATGGAAGTGAGGGAAGGAGAGAGATGGGGAGAAAGGTGGAGAGGGAAGGGAAGAACTGGTGATAAGGGAGGGGAGACGGTGTGATAAAGGGAGAGAAGATGATAAGAGAGAGGAGAGAAGAGAAGAGGAGTGGGGATGTTTGGGGAGAAAAGTGGAGAGGGGAGGAGTGGGGATGTGAGGGGGGATAGGAAAATAGAGAGATGAGAAAGGGGGAGATTGGGAAGAGGGGGAAGGGAAGGGGTAGAGAGACCCGGGCGCAAGGGGTTGAGAGGTATTGAATATATCAACAAACAATAGAATATGAAGCAGTGGATATAAACAAATGATGAGTCACAATAACGTGGCTGAAGATATGATGTTCAAACAACACATCAGGAGATGAGAAGACGACGACGTTTCGGTCCGTCCTCGACCATTATCAAGTCGATTGGTCCAGGACGGACCGAAACGTCGTTGTCTCCTCATCTTCTGCTGTGTGGTTTAGTCTTTAGTGGATATAAATTTGATTAGAATTAGGAAAGACCTGGATAAATACATGCTTGGAAATAGGATTGTTGATTTATAGAATAGATTACCGGGTAACATATAGATATGAAACTACTGGACTGTTTCATGCGTAGGTTAGACATATGTATGAATCAATCTGAGTAGATATAAATAGAAGCTTTCTCATATCGGCCAATACGTCTTCTGCAGTGTCTTTAATGCTTATGTTCTTAAGTTGTGTATGGAGATTAAAATGTATAAAAATGTGACTAATTCATTTGTATGCTATTGCAGGTAAGAGTTGTAGCTCTGCGAAGAACAGAAGTCTACCAAATTTTAAGGTAAGTTCCAATTTTCTAGTGTTATCCTGACCCTCGTCTGTCATGCCTCTTCTCATTTGGTAAGAGTCATACGCCCTCTCTACATAGACTAGAAAGAAGCTAGTTTTGTTTTAATATACTTAGAGAGGGCAAAAAGCCTAAATTAAAAACTTATTCCTTTGCAAACTTCGATGGCGAGGAAGCAGAGCCTTGCGTTCAACACAAAGTTGGTGGATCAGCCAGGCCTCAGGAGAGGATTTTTCCCGCGCGAGACGACGACATCGAAATTCCAGGATGTGAAGGCGATGATTTGTTGGGCGTTGGTGGGCGTAACCAATAAGGGAGCGACCTGAGATCACGTGACGTGACCGAGCCACCTGAGGCGGGGCGCGGGAACCAGAGGAAGTGTCGTATTGCATTCTCACGAGTCGCCCGGGTAAGGTCATGCCGTTTGTAGCCGCAGCAAGACAAGGATTAACCCGAAGTTGTAATGTCATTGGTGATAATCTTCGAGAGCAAGAGAAGAGACATCGCGAAGCGTCCTGCGGGAGTTTTGGAGTGGTAGATCTGCTGGTTGCTGAGCAGAACAGCTCGAAATCAGAGTGGTCCTCCTATGTGCTTGAAGAGCCGAGTGAAGGCTCGCCAGCAGTTTCTCCTTCATCACGGTGCGACCCAGTGAGAGTAGTGTGCAGTCCTGGTCATCGTCCAGCGGCAGCATGGAAGCCTTGGTGAGAAGCGGGGTACCGAACCTGCATCCCTGCCACCCAGAAGGATTCAGTGACCAGTGGGCCAGCGTGGGAGCAACGCGAGTCTGTTTCAGTAAGAATTATTGGATAGAAGCCCGATTTGTATATACTTTTATTTCTTAGTACTCTCGAGAGTCTAAGAAATGAAAGTTGCTCATAATAACACCGAGCAGTGCGGCGTCTGAGCGAGTACTCCTGCTAATTTCACCTCTTGCAACATGAGATATATAAATATTTATATTAGTGCAGTGCGGCCCAGGACGTCAACCCGTCCACATTTCTCCTCCTCTTTGCTACAGAAGAGGAAATTATATTTTATATTTGTGAGTGCGGAAGCCGGCGTACTGTCGAGCACTCGTCACATTTCTCTTCGTTTTTAGAATATAAATGTATAATTCTTCGTTAAGAGGATTATATATATTTATATTCGTCAGTGCGGCCCAGGACCTCAACCCTGCCACTCGTCCATATTTCTCCTCTTTGCCATACAATAGTGTGTATTAAATTTACGAGTGCTCTACCAGACGTCCCATTGAAAACCCCTCTACGTTACAAGAGAGGAAAATATATTTACCATTGACGTCAACCTACATACATCACTCCAGGACGTCAATCTACACATACTTCTCTAAGGACCAATTATCATCTCTTCAGTAAAAGTCTCAGCATCTGAGTGGATTACGTAAGTAGCAATCACTGATTTTTTGGGTTGTTGACAATAATGCAACATAATATACTTCTAAAGGGTCATTCAGTCACACAAATAAATTGCTAAATATGAATTATTAAATTTAAAAAGGTAATTACCCTAATTCAATTGGTATTCTATGTCTTTCCCTGCAGGAAGACAGGCTGCTTAAGACGACCTACAGGACTATTTAAGTAATAGCACACTAAGCCTAATGAAGGTATCAGATGGTAAGTTATATATAAATTAATAACATATCATAAATAGTTGTTATTAGACGTATTTCCTGAGAGTATTTCGGATTATCTTCGCTTCACCCGGTCACTCTTCCGTATATTTAATTACATTTTCAATTTATAAATAATAAGGGAAGCTTGTAACCGATAATCAATAATATAATTCATATTAAGTGTTAATAATATATTTTATCTCTTTGTGCAGGCACGATGACAAGCTGATATCCCGACCAACCTCACAATGAATTCAACTCCTACGCTTTTATTTAATAAAGTTAAATAATGTATGAAGGCCTGTCATTAAATTCCAGAAACATCAAACGGAAGGGAAAATAAATATTTTTCAGCTGATGGCCCTCAAAGTGGTGCCAGTGGGTGCTGTAATACAACATTTTCAGCTTATCCACTCTTCTCTTGCCAATTACTTGAACAGAGAAATTAGATGAATGTATTGCCCGAAACACTATGCGTGCTAGTGGCTTTACAAGAATGTAAAATCAACTTCATGTCTATGTTCTCACTTAACCCTCAATGTACCTTCTTGTATATAAATAAATAAATAAATAAATAAATAAATACCTAGCGAGTATGGGGAGAGGCTACCCCAGCCCAAATAACGGGGTAGCCTATTTTCCCCCCTCCTCAATCATATTTATTTGGTGACTGAAGGAAAGCCTAACAAATTGGTGACCTTGCTAGTAGAAATACCTTTGTGGCGGCTACGTACGGGAGATAGTGTACCACTGAGGCTGCAGAAAGGAGATCTATGGAGCTTTTGTTCCACTCCTCACAGGGGAAGAGACTTGTTGATTAGCTCCTGTGTGTGTGTTGACTGGAATACCCTTGGTGACAGTGGCACCTTAGAAGGGAGGACGCCTCATCACACTAGTTTCTAGAACAGAAATAAGACACTTTTCCATGTTCTTCGGGGCACTTAACCGGTCATAGAGATCATAAGGTCACATACAATGGCAAAAACACCTTCTACCTAGGATAGTGTTACAGTAAAATAGCTTTCCATTCCATGGCAAAGGTTTTTACAGATATAACTACATTGTGTAATATGGAATATCACTAATAGCGGCGTGTTTTATTTAATAAGATGTGTGTATTCTTTGTAGATTCTTGTTTTCTCGTTATATATAATATTGTTTGAAAGTTTCTTATTCTGGTGAGTGAAGTAATTAATCAGTGAGGAATAAATTAATCGTATTTAAATTTGGTTATTATACTTATATCTAAGCCTTCTTACGTATTGTAAATTGTGTTACACGTGTTACAAATGTAACACAATGCTACATTTAAACGTTAATGTAATGTTTGTTACATACGTATTTGAACTTCACACTTCACCTTCTAGTGTGTGGTCTGATCAACATACGTAAATGAACTTCAGTTTACTATTGCATTTTTCAATAAGGTGCAAGTAACAAAGCAATAATGATGACTATAAAGTATACGGACCTATGATCACAATAAAGATTTTGCAGAAGACTTTTTGAACCATAAGAGGCAGCTTCCTGTATATATATATATATATATATATATATATATATATATATATATATATATATATATATATATATATATATATATATATATTTATATATATAGCTATACTCACACATAGTCATTTATATATGTCTAACCTACGCTTGAAACAATCCACCGACTGTTACTCGGTAATTTCTTCGATAAATCAACACAAATCAAATCAATTACTCAGATTTTTTTTATCAGTCTTTTTCCGATTGTATCAGTGTTTGTGTGTGTTATTTTATGTTTAATAAATAAAACAATAGAATATAAATAAACAGATAATAAATATAACATATTAAAAATATGTTAGATTTATTTTCTCTGTTAAACCCTTTCGTCCACACGTACACTTCAATCAGGTCACTAATTTTTCTTTGAAGGCTATAGAGTTTTTTTTTAATAAATAAGGACTGTTGACAAATATAATACTCCATTTAATTGAAAAGTGAATGACAAAACCCCGTTAAAACAATAGGTAGTTCATTAATTTGTTTGGCAGCAATTAATCTCTCGTTTGAGACAGAGCTGCGATATATGAGGCTATAAATATGTCCTTTGTAATGTATAGATGCGTTACGGGTTAAAAAATAATAATTTGATAGCAGTTAATGGTAGGAACAGACAAACAACTTCACCAACATTACAGAGGAGATGCATGTTTGGTACCATTGATCACGCACGCCCACGCGCGTGCGCATACACACGCGTGCACACACACACACACACACACACGCACGCATTCACATACACATTCTCCCCACACAAACACAAAGACACTAATCTTGAAGCAATCTCGTTCAGTTTTTCTTCATTTTCAGAAAGTTATCAGACATTCAGTCCCTGGTTGAAATAGTTGAAGATTGTGAATACATTAATATTTGCTCGTCACGGCATTCACCAAGTCATTTCAAACTAATGTCTTCTCTGGGAATTTCAACTGATGGAGAAACTTGGTGTTTTATGAGAGGTATAATGAGACAGCTGCTGAGATTTTTGTAATGGATCTCATGAATTTGATCTCCAGTGGGGGAATGGTCAATGAATTTTAGGATTATGGTGAGTTGATCAATGGATTTTTGGATTATGGTGGGTTGGCTAGTGGATTTTTGGATTATGGTGGGTTGGCTAGTGGATTATTGGATTATGGTGGGTTGGCTAGTGGATTTATGGATTATGGTGGGTTGGCTAGTGGATTTTTGGATTATGGTGGGTTGGCTAGTGGATTTTTGGATTATGGTGGGTTGGCTAGTGGATTTTTGGATTATGGTGGGTTGGCTAGTGGATTTTTGGATTATGGTGGGGTGATCAATGGATTTTTGGAATATGGTGGATCGGCCAATCGGAGATTTATGGTGGCATGAACGATGGTATTGAGGCGTTTGGAGGTATGGGCAACAAGATTACGGAAGTATGAAGTTATTACGGAGTTACGGATGTATGGGTAATATGGGGCTGGTATCAAAGTACAGGTATTGGTGTGTGTTACTTAGAATGGGTGATGGATGAGTTATAGTGTATGGTCAATGGGATGGTTATGGTGCAAGGGGTCAATGAGGGTTTACAGTGTACTAGAGAGGATATGGGGGTACCCAGCGGTACCTGGCGAATGAAGATAGTTACAGTTATGGTCGTGTGTAGCGTAAATGTATTGACGATTGAGATGATTAGTGCGATTAAAGATAGTATGAGGTCACTTGCAACTTCATACAACAGGATGTTATGGGGGATCGATCCTGGCTTGTCTATGACCATCCCTGTAAAACCACTAGGCACCTTGCAAACTTTGGTGAGACTAGCCCTATCCTTCTGGCCACCAACCTCGAACAAGCATTCTTTTATGAGGCAAATTATCAAAGGCTTTGCTAAAGTCAAGAATGTTGCAATCATTTCCATTTTAAACTTCTTAGAATATGCTGGAAAATAATGAAAGTAAATTTGTTATTCGTGAAATGCTTTTAGTAAAACTTGAGTTATGAACCCTTCATTAGTCTATATTTTCCAAAGTGATAAAGATTATTGCCAGGATCGATTCAAGGAGTTTTTCCTGCAGTAGATTTTCAGCAAATTGGCCGATAACGTGATACAAGATTTTCCTTCTTAAAAATTGTCACCACATCCACAACTCTCCACA